GTTAGGAATGAGGAGGTCCGCTCTAATGAGCGCGAGGCCGATGGCAGTGATGCTATGGTATGAGTAACTTATCATCATCATCATCATGTGTTGTTCAGGCGAGTGTGGCGAGTTTGCGCTGAGTGTACAGTAGCCACGCAGGTTTGCAGTTGTGCTGTTTGCATCGCGTTGAAGTTGTAGGTTACAAGGTTGAGTACAACTGCCCACCTACATTCACACAAGCCGGTTTTTGTCCCTGAATGCCCCTGCGGGCCCCGTGTGCTAGGTCAAGCAGCCAGCCAGCAGCTGCATGGCGGCAAGAAGAGTTGACCAGACGAGACAGGGAGCATTCATGGTTTCGCATGTGCTGAGAAGGACACACAAAGTACATTTCTGCACAGATTTGGCTGCAACCTCAAGGTTATCGCCCTCATCAGCACGCAATCCAATGGGCAGGCATACCATATCGACGACCCCTGGTTGACCTCTACCTGCACTCAATCCGCAAGGGCTGCATAGGACCTATGATGGCCGGTGATACCGATTTATTGTAAGGTGAAAAGCGTTTCATCTCCTCATGAGCGCATATAACATCATATCAGACAGCATCACCGTGTGGCACCGGTGCCGTTGTTTCTGAGGAAGCTATGATGTTGGCGCATGTAGATGGCATATATTGCTTCAGTGTCAAGGAAGTGTATAGTACGGCGAAGATCCAGGCTCGCACAATTGTTTGCTGTCGTGTGATCACGCAAGGGGCCCATTCGACCTACCATTGCCCTGTTGTTCGTGCTGTCTCAATGACATATCATAAGATGAGCTAGACTCACAAAATGATCAGCACTCATCCGCAGGACTCCCTGGTGCGGGCCGTCCTGGCGCGAGCAACTGCAACCGGGACTGGCGCTGTGCGCGCCCAATCTGTTCCTCCAAGCGCGGCGCCGCTCAGGAAGCCGGCGGCAGGGACAGGAGCAACCACGGGGCCAGCGCTTCCGTCGCTGGTGACGGCGCTGCGTCTGCGGACGCCTCGCCGAAGCACCGCGCCGCGCCCCGCGCGCGGGGGGCCAAGCAGCAGGCAGCCGCCTTGCAGCAGACGTTTGCGGCGCAGCTGTCAGAGGCGCTGGGGCCTGGCATCACCGCCGACGACGCCGCCGCGGCTATCCGCGCGTGCAGCATCACCCGCCTTGACCAGTGGCCGGTGCAGGTGCTTGCGGACAACACGGCGAGCCTTTGGGAACTCACGAATTGCAGCTCGCGCGCCGGGCGCGCGCGCGCTGTGCGCACGGCGCCAGAGCTGCTGACGCTGCCCAAGGACGAGCAGCGAGAAGTGCTCTTGGAATTTGGGCGCTTTTTTGAAGGCGACGTCGACGGCTCGCTCCTGCGCGCTGCGTTCCGCAACCCGCGCGAGGCGCTCGTGCACCCGTCGGCGCTGCAGCTGCGCGCTGCCGGCCAAGTATTTCGCCGCAACCCCCGCGCGGTGCTCGTGCACCCGTCGGCGCTGCAGGCGCGCTTTGAGGCGGCCATGCGCGCGCTGGCGCTCGCCCTCGCCACCCACGGCACCGGCGGGCTGGCCGAGTCAACGAATTCAATAAAGTACATGCTGAAGCAGACCCCGGGGCTGCTTAGGCTCCCAGAAGGTGTCCTAGAGCAGAGAATGGAGGCGATGCAGCAGGTGGACATGCCGTTCATCTTTGATTCCGCGTCCTGGATGCAGCGCATGATGCTCAAGACGCCCCAGCTGCTGCTGATCGAGCCCCGGGCGCTCTTCGCCAAGGTGGGTACTCACATCAATAGACGGCACATGGGCCCCCACCCGTGCCCGCTGTCATCCATGTCATCAAACACCAGGGTGGGCTGTGCGCTGCGCTGTTCATGCAGAGGGTGGCAGCTGTGGGTAACTACCTATTGGCTGCCGCCTCTGGGTGCCCGTGCTTCGTTGCAGCTTGCTCAATGGGTGGGCGGCAGCAGTGCTGCAGTTCTGGCGAGTGACGAGGCACAGGACGCGGCTGGGCCAGCCCGCGCTTGTGCGTGCTGCAGCCGCGCCCTCGCTTGCTCCTCGCTCTTCACGTGCTGCCCTCCCCGCGCGCGCACATCTTCAATCAAAGACTTTGCGGTCCGCAAAGTTGAGACAACATGTGTCATGTGCCAACCTCCATACACAGTTCTTGCTCATGCAAGACGGGCTCGGCAAAGACTTCTTTGTGCACGAGCTAGACGAAACGATTGGCTGCCTCGCCAGCTACAGCCCGACGCGGCTCTCGCGCTATCTCTTCCTGAAGCGCGCCACAAGGCTGCCGTCGGCTGGCAGGTCAGCAGACTGGGCCCTGGCAGTGTCTTCTTTGTCAAACGAGCGGTTTAGCAAGGGCCACCCAGGTTTTGCCGCCTGGCTGGCTGCAGACCGGGAGCGGCTTGAGCGTAGTTACGCGCCGCTGAAGTTCCCTTCGCCGGCGGGAGCCCGCAGGCGGCGCAAGCGGCGCATCAGCGCAAGCGAGAAGGGCTTGGCGGCGGAGGGTGTGGAGGCAGCGGGGGAGGGCGCGGCGCGGGATGGGGCGGCCAGCAGCTGGTGCCGGGACGACGCTCGCAGCGGCGGTGATAGCGAGTCGGATAACAGCGAGGGTGAGGGGCAGGGCTTGGCAGACGTGGCCAACGACGAGCTGCCTCAAATCGGCTCGGCCATGTGGGTGTGATGGGGTTCCTATTCAAGGCAGCATGGATCGCACCTGCCTGCAGAGGCAGTCTTGCTGACCCGGCAGCCAACATGCAAGTCAACATTTCAGCTCGACTTTGACACAGCTGTCGACGGCTGCACACCTCCTACGCGATGCTGCTGTATGCCAGCGTTGGCCCATGCAGTCGTTCCTTTGTGTGGCCTCGCCACTGCAGTTGCACAGTGTACATGACATCCCCATGCAACTTGATGCTCTCACCCTCACTTGAAATTGTATAATGCACCCCGAGTCTTGCACCCCGAGTTGAGTGTACATCACACCAATTTGCTTTTGCCCTGAGTGACAGCATCCCAATCTGCAGCAGAGCAGTTGCGTGTGAGTTGGCCAGGCACATTGGCGCGGAGCTGAGTGTACAGTACCCAGTTTTGCAAATTGGTTGATTGCACTTGCGTTCAAGCAGTCGTTTGGATGGTTGAGTAAACCTTGAACGCCCCCAAGTCCTTCTTGTGTCCATGAATAACTGCGCGGGCCCTGCGTGCCAGGCCACCATCCAGCCAGCTGGCAAGGCTGGCAGGGACAGTTGATAAAGGGAGGCATCTAAGGTTGCTTGTGTGCTGATTGGGCACATAAAGGAAGTTTGCTGCAAACATCTGGCTGGAACCTCAAGCACGTCCGCCGTTAGAGGCAGGCATACCCATGGGCGGGCATATTAACAGGCCCCAATTCAACGCTGCACCAGACTCTGGAGTGAGCAAGCGCATGACGCTACGATGTTCTGCCATCTGCAAGCTGGTGTACAGATGCGGGACAGTCATGCACAGGATCTCAACAGACATTGTTAATGTTGTCAAGGCTACGCAGCATCCATTGCAAAAGGGAGGCCTGTAAACCAAGTCAACAGGGCAACCAAATGCACACAGGCGCTTGCAACAGACCAACATGCCAGGTGGTCCACAACACGAAAGTCAGGGAACTCTTGGGATCGTCCCCGGTTTTCGCCGTGGCGTGGTGCAGCGCACCCACTCGAAGGGGGCTCTGCCGCAGGACATCAGTAGCAGCAGGAGCACCCGCAGCAGCAGCGGCGGCCAGCCCTCGCTCACACCCGAGTGATCCAATTGCTGTGCCACGAACACAAGCCCTGTGTTGTCAGGCTTGGTGTTGCGACTCAGTATACAATTGTAGCGTCGAAGTTTGGCTCTAGCCGACCGCAGGTGCTTAGCACGTTCGTGGCAGCCACCCTCTGTGATCTGGGCCGCGCGCTAGGACCCTACTGACATCGCGTCGGACACTTCTTTCATGCCGAAGAGGGGCAAGCAGGGGGAGGATCCCCCGAGGCCTGCCCCCGCCGACGACGACCTGCCTCTCCAAGCCGACCTCGACCTTGATAGCGAAGACGAAGATGAGCTTGCAGATGATGAGATCGGCAGCGGCTCGGATAGCGGCAGCGAGTCGGATGACGAGGTGCGGGAGGCCCTCGCCGGATACCTGCAAGCGGCGGCGGCCGGACGCCCCGCCGGTGCCAGGGGCGACGGCCAGCGGGCCACCACGTCTGATGGCGACACGGCTGAGGAGGACGACGATGAGGAGGAGGGCGAGGGGGACGAGAAGGGTACAGCGGCAAAGGGCGGCAGAAAAAGGTGCGGCGATCTGCTCGGCGGCTCTGCTGCAGGCGGCTGGTCTCGTACGTGCAGCTGCGGCGCATCCAGCTGGCTGGTACAGTCCGCTCCCTCGCTGCTTCGTTGCACACTGGCGGTCGCACACGCCAGCGACGGGCTCTCATCGTGCAGCGCTGGCCCAACATGAACCTTGACCCCTTTCTGATTATCCCACCTCCCCCCGCACGAACCATGTATCCTGCGGCCCTACAGCAGCGGCGGCCGGCGAGACACACGGAGAGAAGGCAATGGCGCCGGGCAGCAGCAGGAGCAAGCGCAGGAACAGGGGCAGCAGCAGCAGCAGCAGCAGCAGCAAGCGGAGGGCGACCCCGGGTCTGACTCATCCGAGGATGAGCGCCCCAACCGCAACACGGTCGGCAAGGTGCCGCTGGAATGGTACAAGGCCGAAGATCACATAGGTGCGCACCAATCGGATGCGCTGGCCGGATGATGATGTCATGCCCTTGGCGGGCAGCTGCGGCGCAGGACCCGGGAGGCATGAGTTGCGTGCCGGCTCTTGGCCCTCGCGCCGCCGGCGCGGCTGGAGGCCGGCGGCGCCCGCCCTGCACGGGCTCAGGGAGTGGGGCACGCGTGCGACCGGCGCGACGCCAGTGGTGGGCTGTGCTGAGCTGGCGGTCACACGGCGAAATCCGCAGCCGCGCCCCTGTGTTTGTGGAGTTGCTGCGCGTTGGCGGCACCGCAGGTGCGAGCGACTCCCCGCCCTCCCCCACCATCTCGAAGACTCGAACGCCACACGCGTTCGCAGACTACTCATGTCAAGCCAACCCCATCTCACATGAATTCGCCTGCAACCATGTTTAAAAACGCACAATGTCATTGCCTCGGCTGCAGGCTACGACTTGGAGGGGCAGAAGATCGCGCGGCGGGGGCGGAAGGACATGCTGGACGCGCTGCTGGCGCGCAACGACGGCGGCGCTGCGCTGCGCACGATCTACGACGAGTACAACGACGAGGAGATCGTGCTGTCCAAGGTTGGCGGGGCCTGAGGTTGCTGATTGAAATGCACTGGCGCACGTGGTGGGCCTGAGAATGCAGTGAGGAGCGAATATGTCTTGTTGCGAAGGTGGCTGAATTGGAGGACCTTGGGTGTGGTCAGGGGTGCGGTATCAGGGTTTTCTAGACTGAACTTGTACATAAGCACTATTGGGAGGGTTGCCATGCTGCCATGGCTCAACAAATTGCATGCGTGCCTTGGACAAACTCAGCCTCTGGGTATGCACCCCAGCGCAACCACCACGCTGGAAGGTCGCTAATCACGGTTGAGGACAGCGAATTGCGCCTCGTGGCACGCGGCGGCACTCTCCCCTGTCAGGGGCCGCTCGCACCACGGCCGGCGCGGACATGCCTCCTTGCTGTTGCAGCACCCCTTCTCCCCCACCCCTATCCAGCTCCCCCCTCCCAACCCACCCCCTTTGTCCCTTGAAGACCCTTTTAGTGCACTCCAGTCAGC